GCGTTTTTAGAGGTACAATGTTACGGAAGTTTAGGAAAGGGGATTCATAATCCGTGGTGTTATGCCTCCCTGTGGCAACCAGGTTGATTATTTATGTCAAAATAGCAAACCCAAAATCAAATCAATTTTTAAGTTGCCGAGAAATCCAGATTAAGTTACAAGTGGCAGTCTGGAGTAGTGGCCCGTGTCTAAATTTCCCAGGTCAGGCTGAACGCATGCTGTTATCGCTCATAAGCGAACATAGGCGAGCTGTGTGACGGGTGATGGATTATTGCAAGCGACTGCCCACAACTTCGAAACGAATCCTAGGTTCAACTCCGCAGCCACTAAGATAATAACCTATTCAGTTCATCGATGTATTGGCCTGGCGCCGACATAAAGAACCCTACGCAGCCACCTGCAGACATGTGTTCCTGACCGTTGATTGGCTGCTACTCCCTATATCTGTCGTTTGCTCTGTTGCTGCTGTGATCTTTGACTGCGGCCCTCTGCACGAGTTTGGAGGCTCATAATAATAAGCAACCTGTTCCGATACCCAACTAGCCTTTTTGCCTTCACTCACATGCCTGGAAATCGAGCATTCGCCTCCATATATTCGTTCCTTTATTTCTATCGTGCCATCTGTTTTTGGCCACGTAACTGGTACAGTATTTTTGCTGATATCCTGCCCCCGTGAACAGTCGTCACATCGACGCCGGATGCCCGAGCCTGTGGAGCGTCCGTGCATTATGAAACTCCGCCGGATTTTCCTATCAAGGGTCGCCTCGTGTCGGGTCCTTCAGTCGACCGAGTGGCTTCTATCGTGCTATAGGGATAAGCAGTGGCATGGACACCAGAAGGCCATAGAAAGGGTGGATTACCGGCTTATTGAATTGCCATCTAAAGTCCGCTATTCTGGTGTAGGACGCTCGAAAGTCCAACAACTTCGGCTCACAAGGGTCGCATCTCAAATATCATAAGTGTTGGCCGTCATCCCTATATGTTCTGCGAGTTGGAACCAGGTCTCTGTATCGCAAATATCCCTATCAAACTGTTCCAATATGATTGCAGTCAACATAACTGTGTCACATTTCTAAAATCATTGTCGCGGCTTTAGTAAGCATTATAGCTTGGTATTTTGTTCTGCTCTTCTCTAGAACAGTTTTGTTCGAGCTAAGTACTATTAAAGTCACGCTAAGTCTGAACATAAGACAGTAAAAATCAGCAAATCTTGCAGTAGGAGTGAAGTGAGTTCCAGGAAGGGCAACGATCGGGTGAAGGACCCCAAACACAGAGGACCAGCCAAAGGTGCCTGTCTTACGGGGAAGGTGGCAATAGGGGTCTTACGGGTGGGGCCTATGTATGCATGGACGAATGGCAAAACAAGTATAGATAATTGGTAAATTCGTTTTTCAGTCGGAAAAGTTTTAATGCATTGGAAAATAACAACCAAAATCAAGACGGACAATTAAAAAAAACAATCATTAAGAGTCTACAACAATCGCTTCTCAACTCTCTGAGCTGAGGTCATTGTAGGTAGTGCACCAGACCGTCCACAACAGACAACCCAACCTTCTACGATGAAACACCAAACCGAAATAATCGTGCCGGACTAAAACCCACTGAAATAAGTATATTAGGTATTCTTTGTATGCCACAGATGCTTGGGGACCTTCACCCGATCATTACCCCAGGAAGTAGTCGCGAGGAGGAGGAACGACGCTAGCTCCCAAGTCGCGGCTCAGTCGACGGGACCTAGTCACACATTGAAGTTTGACGAAACAGAAAGTCATGCTGGATGCGACAACCGCGTGAGCCCGCGAATTGCTCCAGTCATGGTTTTCAGGTCTTCAATCAGTCAAGAAATGCAACGACATCTCCGCTCCATATTCGGCCCTGAGACTTAGCGTAGGCAAAATAGTTAGCTGCGAAGAGAGCGCGCGGATGACCACTGTTCCTGATGTCAATGTTAGCCAGCCAGATTGCCCAGTAGTCTACAAGGATGGCGAAATCCGGCAGTGAGCAACTCGATTTCGTGTGTTTAGCGTGGGATCCAATAATCTTGACCGACACACTGGGGCATAGCAACTGCATAATTCAACACCTGACCAGTCGGGCCGTAATGCACTCGGGAGCTGCCAACTTTGATAGGCATGCAGCGGCCTAGCAACTACATCCCATGAATATAGCAACACCTGGGCAACCCACTACCCTTTATCTGGCATTGTTTCTGATGATGGATTATAGTGAGAATCCGAAACGTCCAGCTAATAGAGCCCCTCTTTCAAGGATCGTCTCCCCTTCTTGGCGAAAGCTTGCAGTTTGCTGCGTAACGAGTCAAGTTCATCTCACAGTTGGCTATAATGGCAAAAAATGTGGGACGATTTCGGCCAAGTGCTGCGTTTTACCTATGGTAAAGGAATCACCCTGAAGGCCATCTCCAGAACACTTCAACGCCTACGGTCGTGAGTGGCTGCGGTTGCTTTAGCTTTTGAATGTTTTAGACGTCCGAAGTTCTTATTGTGGATAACTTATTTGGGCAAAGGAAACGATGCAAGTTTGTTTCCGAAAACAGGCCAGAGATTTGAGACAAAAGTCTTGTTCACCAGTCGTTAAATCTTTTGTTAATTAGGTAGCCCCAAGTACTCAGCCAACTTAAGGCGCCCGCGCTGCTAGCCGGAAAATTTTGCTCTGTGCCCGCGGTAGGTTGTTTAGACTGCCGCACCTGAAATTACTCAGCGAAGAGAGGAATACATTGATTTAAACCCCAGTTTCACTTGTTCCGCTGCTCGCGCAAAGTGTGGTGGATGAGTGTTTTTTGTAATTCCTTTCTAACACCTGAGGAGTGAATTTCACTAATATATTCCGACAGCAGGATGGAGTTCAGGGAGTCTCTTTTGCCTAGGAGCTCTAGAGTCCCCGCAGGCAGTCGTATGGTGCCGAGAAATCAGTAAAGCGAAAACAATTCCGCTAAAAGCGAGAAAAACCGCAAATTCAGTGTTGACTTCTTTGCCGCCTTCAGCTAACTAGCGCACACAGTCAAGCCTGCCAAGAGCAAAACTAAAAGCCAGATTTGGTTGGTTGCTGATCAACACGACTCTCAATAGTCTACTTACTCCTAGTTGATGCCTAGGATTACCTGGCCTAGGGTTCCAGTATGGCTTGCTGAGGATAAAAAGTTCAACCGAAACGGCTGGGTTCCTTCCGTGTTTTCATCATTACTACTTTGCCGAATGGAACTACGACTCAGAGCTAATGCACATGTCCACGATTTCAAGCGTATAATCTCGAACAGGTACTAAAATTACAATATAACGCAATATTCGTAAATGTGGCTATTAACTTACCTTGCGAGTACTTCGAATTCTAAGGTAGCCATAATTCTGGCAAAAGGCAAAATATTCAAAAATATTGCTTGTTCCAATTCTTAACCTACAGATTATATCTGACAATTAGCATAAACTGTCAAACCTTAGTTTAAGCATACCTTCATCTTAGCGACGAGTTACGTACAGTGTTTAATGAAGGAACAGAACGGACGGAGGAAGCCAACCAAGCATATAAATGGACGATGTAAAAATTCCTGTGGTAATGAAAAGGTAGTTACTTAAGTGTGGCGGCAAATGACGATGTAACTGATAATAAGACACTAAATCACTTGTGTGTGAAGTTAAATTAGTAAAGAGTTTCAGGCATAAATGTACTTTCATTATGGCCGCGGGTAGTGGAAGGGTATGTATTGATAGCCAAAATTTCTGGTATCTGAGCAGGGTACACAGTCGTAATCTTCACATAGCGTAGTCTTCTTTTGGCATTTCCGATAATATCCACTACTTTGTTGAGGCTTACGACATAGTATGGTGTAGAAAACCTAAACGTCTGAGACGACTCAAAATTTTGCGTTATTATTGATAAAGAATTATATTTTACATTTTCAGCTAATCCATAGGCTATTCAGTGGCATTTAGCCATAGAATCCATGGCTATGCATCTGGCACCCTAGCTACCAGGTATACAATGGAAGCGTCAAAAGTTTTGTCGCCTAAAATTCATTTTGTTTTTTTGCATTGTTTAGTACGAATATTATAGTAAATTCTCTCGGTATTACTGAAACCGTCGTAGGCCAAATTGGGTCAAAATAAAACTTATACGCCTTAAAGGGCATTATTCCACCTGAAGTTACTTTTCACTCTACGTTTTAAAAGGTCATAATAATGCATTGACCGATTCTCCCAAAACCAATTTCCGCTTTCTGCTCCTCAAAATAACACAGCTGATGCAGATGTTAAGTTAAAGCCCAAGTAGTGTTCGGTAGAGGAAGTTAGCTTTAATGCTGAAAGGAAGTGTTGGTCATTACATCCTTCAGAATTCGAGTTTGAATCAGTTATCCGACACAGAAACAGTGTTAAATTCACCGACAACTTTTGCCATCCCCCCTCTTTCGGCTTGAAGATTGAGCACGAATCCTCAGTCTTTGGACCGTCGTTACTGTTTTTATTGGTTAAAATGACGATTACCTGGGAATCCTACCCCTCGCTACAGAAGAATTGCAATCAAATTGTCCTGTTAACCGACATTTATCTCATCACTGAATAGGATA